AAAAAAAAAAAAAAAAAAAAAATCTATAAAGGACACTTTCCACGACCCCGTTTTCTGTGTTTAGATAGGTAAAATGGAAACAGTTTCACGTGTCCTTTTGATTTCTGAAGTTGTGACTGCCCTTTGGGTAGGAAAGGTCAAAGGACCCGTTTCAAGCGCTTTGGCCCAAAGCGTAAAAGACAAGTGAGTTGGCCTGTGTGGGTTGGCCAGCCTTCCACTGCCACGACGACTGCCCGAGACGATCCACTCAGAAAGACGCTCTGGGGCTCAGCTTCAGAGGGCGCCTTCCCTGCTGCCCCAGCCCCTCTGCCTTGGGCAGGTAGCGTGAGATGGTGGACCATTCGACAAAGCAAAACCTTTGATCCTGTGGCCCAGAAGCCAAGAGAGAAAGAGCGAGAGACCAGGTTTCCATCACCCCCTTCAAAGGCAGGAGCCCTGTGGTAGGAAGACTTTCCACCTGGGCACGTCCTCCTGAAGGCTCCTCTACCTCCCAGGAGTGCCAAACCGGGGACCAGGCCTCTGGGGAACACCTCTCCAAACTCCAGCAGCTCTCCCCAGAATTCTCTGAGTGTCGTCAAAACGCAGGGAAAGGGAAAGGGACGCTTTCCTCTGTCCATCCCCGGGTCCGTGGAGACCACCTTTCAGACCAGCTCCGACCCCCTCCAAGGAGAAGGCCCCTCCTGCTGCTCGTGCCTCCTTACCCCGTCGGTAGTCTTTCTCCGCTTCTTTTTCGTTGGGACGAGTGACTTGCTGCTGACGGGCCAGCTCCAGAATACTTTGTAGTGATGCACAGGGATGTCCGGCTCCTCCGGGAGGTCCCAAACGATAGTCACAGTCACGCTTCCGTCACTGTGGATGGTGGAGTTTGCAAGCCGAAGGTTGGCTGGGGCTGGTGGTGCCGACGGATCTGAAAGTCCGGAGGAAAACACACAATCTGAACCTGCCACAGACAAAGGCAACAGCAAGGTAGCACTGCCCGTGAAATAACGCTGCGGTCCATGCGAGACTCTCTGCTTTTCTTGCAGTACGTGAGAGCCAAGAACAAGCTCTACACCAAATTCCCCTAGTCTTGCCTCAAAATAAAATACAGTCACCAAAACAAGGTGAATTTGCTTCATCCAAACTTCTTCATATACAGAAACAGAAAAGGCCTTGGAAGCCGGGCATGGTGGTGCATGCCTGTAATCCCAACACTTAGGAGGCTGAGGCAGGAGGATCCCTGTGGGTTCGAGACCAGCCTGGGCTACATAGTGAGTTCCAGGTCAGTCTCAACTACATAGTGAGACCCTGTCTCAAAAAACCAAAAAAATTAAAAATAAATAAATAAAACCGGAAAAGGCCTTGGAGGCATTCCCACACCCCTGCAACCCAACCAAATTTTCACTGGGTTGAAACGGATATGTTTATCCAAGACACTAAAACTGTGGACACTAAATAGATAAGTGGAGTAGACTCGCCTTTGAGAACCGCAAGGAAAACAAAGCCAGGTGACGTGAATAATTGTTTTCTTCCTAGCGGCCATGAAGCTTGCAATCCTTGCCATAGGCCAAAAGCAACAAAGACAGATCAGCAAAAAGAATCAAATAAGCAAATAAAAGAAAGAAACCTTCAGCACTTTTTATGCACGTTACAAATCGGGCGGCTTACGACTGACATCTCTTTGGGGCGATTTTTTTTTCATTCCTGGTTTGTCTCAGAAATCACAACTCTCTCAGCTGTTAAGAGTCAGGCTGAGGTGTTGATCGTGTCGTTCTCCAAATCTCCATGCAGTTTTGGAATGGCGGCAACATGAATTATGTTTAAAAGTCTCTTGTTTGTCTCTATGCTATGTACTGTCTAGAGGTTTGGTTAAGTTACTTATTTCATTATTAAAAATAACAAAGTTTAACTAGCGGGGAAATCTAAAGCAGAGTACAACACGAACCACTAATCAAAGGCTCTTCAACAATCAAACGTCTGGGGTCGGAGATTTAGCTCAGTGGTTGTGCTGTCTGCCTCACAAGCACAAGAACCCAAGTTCAATCCCTGGAACCCCTTCCCCCCAAAAAAGAATCACCTGGGGCCCCTGATGTACAATGGGGTCTTCTGATTACCTGCTAGTGGGGCCCAGGAACAGACATCTCATCGGCCCTCTTGGATCATCAATATCGACATTCTTAATCACTTCCTCGTCTTTGCAAAATGTCCCTCACTTGGCTTGCAGGACGTTCCTCACTGCTGAGTTCTCCTTCCCTGTCCCGGGACACGACTGACAGCTCCCCCTGGCTTCTCCACATCCCTTCTTCACTTAACAGGAGAGCACCCGGTGTGGAACTCGGGGGGCCCTTTCCTCTTCGTCCCCAGTCCCTCCCTCTCCAGGGACCTCGGCCAGTGTCAGAGCTTTAAGCCGCCTCTGTGCCGATGGCCTAGCATACATCCCTCCTGGACTTGGAGGTGTGACAAAATCGGTCCCGAAACCCAAATCCTGACCGCGCCACCTTCCCTCACACACAGAGCCCGGCGTAGATGCAAATGCCTCCTTCCAGTCGCTCCAGCCTCCACACTTGAAGGTGTGTGTTTATTTTCTTCTCATACGCCTTGCCTTCCTCCGTTTTCTGCTACTGTCCCAAAATACCCAAGGCTGAGTGCCTTATAAAGAATAAGGATACATTTCCACTCTGGCTTGTGTGGAGGTTCAGGAACATGACCTTGCATGGTATTGCACAGTGGTGAGGACACAGAGAGCACACGGGTGGACAAGGAACAGAATACAGGACAGAGAAGAATCAAGAAAAAGACAGTCCCTTTACAACAATCCACCCTCCAGTAACTCACCCACTGTTGTGAGAACTACATGATCCCCTCCCTTCATGACGATGGAACCCCGTGACCTCATATGGCCTACATCTCCCACCCTGTCAGCACCATTCCATTGGGAATCTGGTCGCAGCTTGAGTTTTGGTGTGGACACACGACCTCCAAATCATCCCGTTCCCTGAGCAGGACTGCAGACCGAGCCCAGCCCAAGCAATTTAGCGATATCAAAAAATAAAAGGAACTGTAGATACAGCTCAGTGTGGGTTCAATCTTCAATACTGTAAAAAAAAAATCATCTATTCCAAAGAATTTCCATTACTTATGAAACTTAACTGGCATTTGGTATTCATTTTTCCCTTCATCTATTTAATTCAATTACTACTTTAGAGTTTTTTTTAATGTACTGGATGTGATCATAAGAGTCCAAAACGACATCCAGTTTATGAAATATTACAGAACATGAAATAAGATAATTTATGAAAGCAACATGTGAGAAAATAGTGCTTGCAAAATTATTGTTAATGTACTTGCTTTACATTTTCTTAAAGGTAAGGTCCATTTTGAGTATTTATCATGCCAATATGGTGCACACTGTTAGGAAAATGAGACATTCCCAGTCTTGTCTCCATTAAAATAATCTCTGCTAAATTTTGAAAGGCAAAAGAGATAATTCACATATAGCACCAACTATAATAATGATTGTTATTATCTTTACTTTTTTTTTTCTGGTACCAGGCATCGAACTTGGGCCCTCGAGCTTGCGAGGCAGGTGGCAGAACCACTGAGCCAAATCCCCAGCCCTATCTTTACAATATTTTACTCTGTGGCTCTGTTACAATAAAACTTTATTTACAGAACTCTGTGGTGGCTGCCTCAGGGTCCCGAATCGGTTAAGAGCATTAACCTTTTGTGATCATTTTGACTTTGAGGAAGAGCCAGAAATCACAAGTGCCACTTGAAGCGGATGAGCACACACTCGTGTTTTCACAAGCCTGCTTTCCTACTGTTTCACACTCAGGAGCAGCATCTATCACATCTTTTTAAAAAATCACAGTTTGTAAAGACTCACAAAAAAAGGATTTCTAGAATCGCTTTGGAAAGTGACAAGAGCAATGGGAAACGTGCTCCCGAAAACATCACATCTTTTTAAAAAATCACAGTTTGTAAAGACTCACAAAAAAAAGGATTTCTAGAATCGCTTTGGAAAGTGACAAGAGCAATGGGAAACGTGCTCCCGAAATAGAAGTGTTTTAAGGGGGATCAGTGGCCACGTGCCTTTTACCGAAATAAACTGTTTGAATTGTTAAATAAATATTCGCCATATGTTGTGGTCACACCACGTACACAGTCGGCTCTATGTCAACCAGACGGTTTCTGTCTCAGAGGTGAGAGAGTGAAATCCATCAGCTGAGAGGTACAGACTGAGAGGGTGGAATTCACACAACGGCCGCAATCTTTCAACTCCTCTTTCCGAAGCCCAGATCACAGCATTTCTCCCGTCTCACTTCTCTTCCTGCTTCTGCTACTTTCCTTTCGCTCCTTCTGATCTTCACAGTAATCTGCAGAAACTCATGCCAGCGAGCTGAAAGCCCGGCACTCTTAGGGGTCACGGAAGTAGGAAGGCTGTTTTCACTCCCACTCGGGTGAGACTGGCGTGATTGCTGGTGCAAAAATACGTCGGCCGTTTAGCGGGTATAACTAATCTCCGCCTTGTAGAAAAATACTTTCCTTTATTGATGATCCTGAGGAGCGCTTCCAGCCAAGGAAAACGAACCCTTTGGCTTTCAGAAAGGCTGCTTTCATGTTTTATGGCTTAACCCTTGCAGGCTAATGCCACGGGATGAGCATCACAACAGCAGGCATGGAGGGAGGGAGGTCTGGGACAGTGGAATGGCCGAGCCTAGGGTGAGCCAAGTGACAAGTGAAATCACTTATCGCCCCTGGAGAAACGCAGGGCTATTATTGCCCTGACACCGTATCTCATGGGAAAGGACCGGATCTGCCTGTCCCAGGAGAAACCCCATCACTCCGTGGGAGGCAGGCTCCTCCAGGCTTCCAGATAATACTGTTTTTCTACAGAAACCATCCCTGTGTATTAAAACAACCACTACGGCGAAGCAAGTAACCTTTAGAAATCATCACAGACCGGGACACACGCACAGCAGCAACAAGTATTTCAGGAAAACGAATATAGGTTTTACTTCTTTTATTCGTCATTGATGCCTCTACACTGTATCTCCCACTGCAGTGTCATGGGAACACCCCCTGTGAAGGTGTGTGACCGTGATGATATACGACTGTCACAAATTCTTGATTCCTTTTTAAAATTTAATTTAATTCATATTTTCAGAAGTGTTCATAATAGACAAAAAAATTATTTCTTCTTCCCCTTGACCGAGGCTTAAATGATCAAGACCGGTCCCTACCTACTCTGAAATGCCTTAGACCATCACGTATTCCTCACAGGCTACTACCGTGAAAGGAAGAGTTCTTAAAAATAATGTTAAACCATCAGAAGACCAGTAAAGTTTTAGTTCCAAAACCCAACTGGAAAACATAGGCCTTTACCGAATAAAAATGCACCATTTCGGGGAAAACATTTTAGTCACCATTGTAGTGTTTTTTCCTGCTTTAATAAATACCACTTTCCACTTACTCAGTTGTCACAATAAGATCTTTCTTGCCTTTGTATAAACCACCTTAGAGTTCACTATAAAAAGTGAACTCCACTTTTTAAGAATTTTTCTTCGGAAATGTCTTCTTAAAAAAGTTACCATATGGCTCTCAGGTACTTCTTTTAGAGGAAGTGGTTGATTTCGGGGGGCGGGGTAGTAAAGTGAAACCTGAAATGGTTAGGCCTGGTGTATTAGAAAGCTGGTTCTCCAACCTACCCATGCCACCTGAGCTTTTGTACCAGTGAGAGAGGACGGTGGGCCCAGACTGGGGCCGTCATGATGGACGTTGCAGAAATGGTCAGCATGGATTTTTAAATGGAGCTGACAGAATTTGATGACAAGGCGGATTTGATGAGTGTGAGAAGGAGAGGAATGAAAGATCTTTTGGGGATGGTGGACATTCTAACATTGAGTGTGGGTGTTGTTTGCGTGGCTCATTGGGTTAAAATTCAGTGGGTTGTGCACTTACAATGGGTGAACTTTACAGCAAGTAAGTTATGTTTCATGAATTTGCCAGGCAATTTTTCCCAGCATGGCTCTTTGCCCCACTTGATAAGATTAAGACGGTACCATCTTGTTGGAGACAGCTTCCTCTGGGCAGATGATAAAGAGAATGTCTTCCATGTTTGGCTAATCTGTGACATTCCCTCCTTTCTATGATGCATCTTTCCCGAAGACCTAACAGATTCTACTGTGAGTGCTGTGCTCACTTCTTAAATTTGAAAGAGTGCAAAAATTTAAATCCTGGAATGCTCCTCCCAATGAGAGGTATGCAAGCATGAACCAGGTGTGTGTGTAAAAGTGGGAAATGGAACATTGTAATGGTGATTATAATGTTTTTAAAAATGGGAATCAATTAAAATGTAAGGGTTGCAGCCATAATGCTGGACTACTAAACTGCTAGCGTTCACTAGGAAATGTTCAGATAGCACAGACTAGCTACTTTTAGTTAGCATGACCAGTCCTGGGGTTTGAGAAAGCACCTCACTAAGGTCCTAAAGGGCTCCTGACGTCAGGCTCTGCAAGGGATCGTGGGGGCAGAGCCACCCTCCCCACCTCTGGGAGGCAGGGGGCGCTGCCACTCTTGCGGATAATTCAGCACCCGTCCCCAGGGGAAAGTGGGGCCGCAGCCTTGTTCCGAGAGCGCAGCCCAGGTGTTGAGGCTGAGGGAATAGATGGCAACCCATGTTGGCCAGGCCGCGTCCGGACTGCGTTTGAACCGTGAAAGCAAGGTGAAGAGCCCTCAAGCCTTTTATTGATTTCTGCCTCCTAAACTACCGTTAATTATTCATTTCGCTCTCCTCTCAAAACGATCAGACCCGTTGGAGACAGAGCCTTATCTTATGACAAGACCAGGTTTGATGTGTTTATTTACAATTTCACTGCAAAGCTTGCTGAGATATTCTACTCACTTTCCTCAGGGTGGGGGGGGGACAAAATTTTTTAAAATGATCTTTCTCAAAGACAGTTAAAAGGCTACAATGTATACTGCGATGGAATCCAAATATTAAATGATCTTGACTGAAAGTTTGGCTCTTGAGACCTGAGATCATACAGAGATCATTACATAGCGCCACTGTATGTTTAGCAATATTATATCGTAGTAACACAGAGGAGACAAGGAGAGAGTGAGGCATACATGCTTCCAGTCTGGGAACAGAAACCGTAGGCTATCGAAGGTGTACCGCTGATGTCTGAGGTCTGACATTATTCCTTAATACTTTTGGTTTGAAATAAATGTAAATGCACTCCCAAGGAAGAAGATAACTCCTGGTCGGTGAATGAACATGGCTAACCTGTGTCTCAGAAGCCAGGTCCTGCTGCTGCGTGAAGCAGATGCTCAACTGATTGGACGGTGTGTGGCCAGTCACGTGCCCGCAGCCAGACCTGGTCAAACCAGACCTTCAGCTGTGACAGAGCCAAATGCTCCAAATGTGGCAGAGTACCCGATTCATCAGAGCCCGAAGAGGTTTGAAAACAGCAAATGCACAGGAACCCACCCGGCAGCAGTATATCCATGATCAAATGACTCAGGGCAGGTGAAAATTCCGGACGGTGTGGAACAAAAGCAAGAGACTAATCCACATTCAGTTTAACAACTGTTTCCAGAAAAGCTGTGCTATCTAAAGTAGACAAAAGTGTGTCTTTCTCCCCTAAAATGAAGCAAATGCTGCTTGATGCAGAATATCTTAAAAGAGACCCAGCAGAAGTTGATCATGGAAAATCCTCCTTTCAAGGTTTCAAAAATACCATAATGTTATTTATTTCCTGAGGCACCCGGAAGGTAAGATGCCCCTGATGTCCCTAATCATAAATTTCCACGGTACCTCCGGGCACATCTCGTCCCGCTTGTGCTCTAAGAACACCAAAGCCACCCGCTGGCCAGCCATCCACGTGACCGCAGAGATAAGGAATCTGTATCCCATACGTGCCCTGGAGGGAACAAGGTGCATGTCCGGTGTCAGGGCGGGAAGGGAACACTGACCTTTGGAAGAGCGGAAGTGCTTGCTGGGTGCGGTGAAGCCTCGGGTGCCATGCACGTTGACAGCAGCCACGCGGAACTGGTACCATCTGCTAGGTCTTATGTCGGTCAGCTGCACCCGCTCATCCGTAGTCTGAGGGGAAACGTCACAGAGCACAGGGAACACCTTTTATTCTAACGTGCCAGCTGGGTCTGTTTTTAGAAATACACAAACCCATCAGCCAGTGCCACCTCTCCTTCCTTTCCCTACTGGTTACACCAGTCCATCAGGCCCTGATTTGGAAACGGCTGGCGCAGGTGAAGACAACTTTCATATTTCATCCCAAAGAGCCAAACATCTCTGGAAGTAAAAGTGTATGACAAATGCTTGGGTTGCTGTTCACCCTGGTGATCCAGCCGAGCATTTCAGGATTTAATCAGTAAAGGATGTACGTGAAACCATTCCATTAGAGGCAAGAAAATAAAATACATTTTTTAGATTATAGAAAGTAAAATGGCTCTTCAACTTGCAAGTCAAATATAATTCTGGAAGTAGGTTTTAAAATCCATACACTCAAAGAGTGCTAACAATTTCTAGGTACATATTGCAGCTCAAGACCTAGAGATAGATAAGATGGGTAAGTAACCTAGATGACTGACAGATATAGATATATGATAGAAAAGAACAGAGAAAGAAATGGAGAGAGAGAGAGAGAGAGAGAGAGAGAGAGGAAAACAGGTTTGAGTAGACCACATAATATCCGTGAAAAATTGGTCCTGATCTTAAAGGGTGATATTATGAGATTTAGACTTTGGGGAAGAGCCAGAGGTTACACACTGCTAGATTCAGCGAATACGGCAGATGAGGGTACACCATCATGTTTTCACACAAAGTTCTATACTGAATAGCACCCAGCAGCAGCGTTCATTGTACTGTTTATCACACTCCCTAAAGACACTCACAAAAGATGACTTGTAGAACTGCTTCAGAAAACGGCAAGGGCATTGAGACACCTGTACTTCAGGCAAAGTTGGGGTGTGCACTGAGGGGGATTAAAGGCAATGTGGCTTTTCGTGTAGTAAATTATTCTCAGTGTACATATTCATTGTACTACTTTTCGATTATACAGTGGAGCACATCTTTACAAAGCATTCACGTTGTGGTAGCTATCACAAGGCATCTAGAGTGGATTTAAAAGGGCAGGAGGATATGCTCTGACGGACTTTCCACTTTGTAGCTGCTTTTGGCAAGGCAACTCACCTGTGCCTGATGCCCAGCTCACCTAGGCTCCCAGGGTGAAACCAGGCAGCAGGGCTGAACTGGGATCCCAACTTCGGATTTCAAAAGTTTACAGAGAAGGATTAACTGTGTTTCTGTCAATATCTGAGAGTATTTTTGAGATCAAAGAGATAAACATTTCTGAGATCAAAGAGTATGAATGTTAGCTTCAGCACTGCACACCACTTGATTTGGCTCAATGATTTTAGCTGATTTCCTGATTTAGTGTCTTAGCTGTGAGTTCCAAAAGCTTATATTTAGAATGGTATCCACTGCATGTGACAAAAACGGAGAACTGCATCGGTATTAACTGGCCAGGTAATTGTAACAGTTACAATGATAACCGAAAAACTTTCTTTTTCCCAAAAAAGAGGGAATAAAAGAGATGATTAAAGAGTCCATTTTCACATCTTTGAATGATTTAGAAAATTTGCCCATGAATCTGTCCTATTATTGATGGGTGCAGGCCGTGTAAATCAAGTGGAACTTTAATGAGCATTATGAATAGTTTCAAATTTTATTGAAGCAAATTCTTTTTCATGAAAGATGTATAAGTTGCAATTACAACATTTATTCGATGGAATCTCAGATTTTTTTCTAATTTCAGAGGTTTCTTTCACATACAACTTTGAACCTACTTACTTTGGGGTCTTTATTGTAGCTAAACACTAAACCTTTGGAGATTTTAATATGGACAAAAAATTCTTCTAGGGCCGGGGATTTAGCTCAGTGGTACCGCTGCCTGCTTTGCAAGCACAAGGTCCTGAGTTTGATCCCTGGTACCAAAAAAAAAAAAAAAAAATCTTCCAAACATTCAAATACTCCTAATGTTTACATTTATGAAAAAAGAGAAAGACTCTTATCCTTGGTGAAAACTGATCAATTTAACTAAAAATAAAATTTTTCCCTTTGATCACAATTGTGGAGAGGGACATTTATTTCTTAAAGAGCATAAGGGAATTTTACATTGAAAATTTCTTCTTTGTCTCTTTATCCATTTTTGTTTTGTTTTGTTGTTGCTTTTGTTTTTGTATTTGCTGCAGCTGGAGGTCCATTTAGCAGCTCTTAAAAAGCAAGAAAATGTTTTGCTTTTCTTATCAAGATAGATGAGAAGGCAGTAGCCTTAAGATAAACTCTAGGAGTGTTTCCACTCAGCTACTGGATTCATTTTAAAGTGGACTAAGATAAAGAAGAAAGCACTTAGCAAAGATCTGAGAGCTGTTGGCTATCTCCCACTAAACTAGCTTTGTGATCTGTATCTTGCACCATGCTACCAAGGAAAAGCTTAAGTGTGGGACAAACAGAAAAGAAATCACGGAAAGGATTAAATAACACATTAACTAGTGCCAACATGTGGGGTTTGAGTTTAGTGGAGAAAACACTATTCTTGGAAAGAAATAGAGACAAGCAATCAGGTCACAGTGTTTTCTCCTTTTTCTGTGTATCTTGAGCCAGTAAGTCAAGAGCCAGCTCTCTGGATACGTCATGTCCTTCTCTGGAGCCTATCTTCTCTGTAACACACAGGCACGAGGCTGTTCCCACACCCTACTGATTTCTGCATCCCAGCCATCTTGACAGAGGCACAATGAATTGGCTGTGTGTGCGTGTAAGTGTGTACTGGACACCTTCTCAAGGAGAACCACAAAGGAGGCCCTGAAGCCCTTACCTGGGCCACGGTCTGCCAATGCGTGGCATCGTCTTCGCTGGGGTGGATCCCATAGTTCCATCTTCTTTGTACCACATAGATTACGGGCTCAATGGAAATGTTGAACTTGGAGGACCACTTAATCTCCAGCTGCCCCGACTTGAGCTCAGTGAACCGCAACTCTTTTCTGGGCTTCAAGGGGACCCCTGAAACAGGACCGTGTTGGTTAAAACAATGTGCACAGGATTCGAATGGGAAGGAAAGTTGAAGAAAGCAATCTACAGAAGACAGCAATCCTATGTGCAGACCATGGATGTTATGTTTCTTTCAGAACGGTGGCCTTTGCCGGGGGATTTAGCTCAGGGGTGCTGCACTTAACTGGCAAGCACAAGGTCCTGAGTTTGATCCCCGGTACCAGAAAACAACAACAACAATAAAACAAAATAAAACCAACCAACCAAACAAGCAAATGAAAAAAAGAAAACAAAACAGTGGTCTTTCTGTACCAGAAGTCACAGTAGAAGTCTTTTGGTACCAAGTTCAGTATAGCACATATAAAGACCATTAGAGCGTTTTCTTTTTGCTTTTCCTTACCCCCCACAGGTGGTCAGAACCAGCCGCTGCTTCTCATACAGCCTTTTCTCCCTAGGACCCTCCAGGGCTACCCTTTCATGTGCACGGCTATGAATAAATAGCGTTAACAGGTTCTTCATTGGGGGTTAACAGGGAATTCACATGAAGCAGGTGGCCTTTATAAAGAGGCTCAAGTCCTTTCCCCATGTCTAACACGTTCCGTTGCTATGGCTACATTCAAAGATCATTATAACATGGTTCCTGGGTTTGCTGTCATGGCCATCCCAGGGAGGATTCCCTTTCAGGAAAAAAGGAAAAAAAAATTGGCAAAGCTGAATCTCGTGTGGTCAGATCTTACAGAGTGATTTCCAAAGTGTGAGCCTTCTGGATTCCTAATAGGTTGCTCAGGGGCTCCCCTACTGACTTAATGGTTTCAAATGGGAGGGTGATGAATGTAGAATGTTTGGTTTTGGCTTAAGGGAACACCTTGCTTCCAAAGTCCCCCGCAGGTGGCTCAATGTAAAGAAGTTAATAGTTTTGATTTCTCTTTTTAAGGATTATACCCAGGGCCTTTTCACCAAGCTATATTCCCTTCCCTTTATACAACCAAAAAGGAGAACTACAAAATGTGTTATGATATAGAGACAGCATCTTGATAAATTGCTAAGTTGCCCATGATGGGCTTCAACTTGCTATCTTCCTGACTCAGCCTCCCAGAATGCTGGGATTACAGGCACTCACCACCACATCTGGCTTCATTGTGATTTCTTTTTCCCCCTAAAGAGAGTGCAGGTTTTCATTTTTGTTTTTGTTTTGGTACCCGGGATCAAACTCGGGACCCTGCACTTGTGAAACAGGTGACGGAACCACTGAGATAAAAGCCCTGGCCCAGCGTGCAGGTTTTCTGAAAAAATTTGAAACCTTAGCTCTAAACCCTAGGCCTTCTAGGAGATATTTTGAAACACATTTATAAAACTGAAAGGATATGTCAAACTAAGTGAATTAGGTAGAAGGGATGGTATCATAACACCAAGAACACTAGTCACCATTAATATTGTTTTCCATCAACAATGGGAGCAACGAGGGCTGGGGATTTAGCACAGTGGTTCTGCCACCTGCCTCGCAAGTGCAAGGACCCGAGTCTGATTCTTGGTACAAAAAAAAAAAAAAAAGAATGGGAGCACTTAAAACTCACTTGAATAATCCAGTTCATAATGCTCACTTATTTTTATATTCCTTCAGTTTAATCAAACAGGGTTATGACAAATGTGAAAACAAAATGTAAATAAGATCTGATCCACATTGCAGCTGCGGCTGAATCTCCATTTTGTTTCATTTTGATCTGAACTCCTGTCGTCTTCTTTGAAGAAGTTTTAAATTCATTAGCTGTTTAGTGGAACAGACTGGATGATTTAAAAATGCAGATTTACACAGGGGCAAAAAGGTCATTATTTTTTGAAAAAGATGTTTTGTAAGGAATACATTTACCATTGTGGCATTTTCTGTTTTGCTTTGCTGTTGGGTTATGGATGGGTATGGCTGGTCAGTTTACCATATATTCGCCTCGCTAGATCCTGAGACTTTGTGAAACATATCAGTGGTCAAAGGAGGAAGATGGATTAAGCTGCGTGGAGCTCTGGCCTGATCTCAGGTTTCTTTTTCGATTCCCAACCTCTTTCTCTATTTCAAATTGGGAAAAGCCACCTGGCAAAGCAGAGAAAAGATGTGGCTGTTGATACATCTGCAAATCCTTTCAACTGCTCTTTTTATAATGTCCTCTGCTTTCCCAGTTGGCACAGATCTCCACTAAGTCAGGCATGGCTCCTGCTCAGCCATGACTTGAGAGTTTTCCAAGCCTTCATCATAAACTTGTGCTTGGAGTGCGAAAGCTTACAATGAAGGTGACATTGAACGAATGGACTATTTCTGCTAAAGCAAATGATTCTCAGATAGCGCCCAAGTCCCCAGCTAGGGCGAAAGGTGACTGTTAAATTTCTCTGCAGAAGTCACATCTTAATTTCTTTGCCCTAAAATAGCTGCTTCTGTGCTACGGGGATTCACGACAATGCAGTTTCTTAGAATTTTTTGTGTTTGTTTTTGCACCTGCCACCGTCCTTGTTGACTTGCACAGCACATTTCCAGGAATTGCCAAATCATCAGTCTCCAGGGTGACCACCCTACATTCTGTTCCTCTCATTCTTCTGTTGCCTTGACCTTCACGAGAGCCTCTAAGTGCATCTCCTTGTCTATCTCAGCTAATTCACTCTTGGTGTGACCATTTCCCACGTTAGGAGTGAGGCTGTCTCCTCCATCTTCTCAGGCCCTCTACTTGCATCTTACTTTCTCCACGATGGAGGTGAACTTCTCTCTGTATCTCCGTCTCGATGATCGCCCTCCACTTATCTTTCAGCTTATCTCATGGTGCGTGTATCACACATTTTTGCCACAGAGCCAGTCTTTAAACCCAGCTTTCCCAGAAACACACCGCCAGGTCCTTCCTATGACCACAGCCTGCTAGATGTTTTCAACTCTGAAATGCCTTTCGGTCTGTTTTCCCTCTGCAGACACTTAAATACTTCCAGGCTCAGACCAAATGCCACCCCAGCCCCGTGACACTTCCCCTAAACTTTCTGAATGGAAATAAAGGCCCCATTCTTTTGCCCCTCTCCAATGCTGAGCCTGTCACTGTCAATGTGTGCGTTTAACTGCTCCTTGCTGCAAAACGCTCATTTAACGATGTCTGTCTTCCTCTCTAAGTGACAGCCCCAGAGGTCAAGAGCCCTGTCCCTGTCCTTCTTGCTCCTCAAAGCGTCCCCAGGAGAACTCTCTGCAACTGCAAATGTAAAGCAAATGTTTGCTGAAGAAACAGCCTCACCTACTTTAAGTCCACTCCGGAGTAAGCCACGGAAATAGGAGGACTCTGGAATATTTACGAAAACCTTTGCATCAGCGACAGCCCCACTCTGCTCAAAGGTGACTTGGGGATGGGAGAAACTTATCACAGGAATTCTGTGCTGCCTTCCTAATGAAATATTCTTCTCAATGTCTCAAATCTCCCTCTCTCTCTCTCTCTCTCTCTCTCTGTCTCTCTCTCCATCACTTTTACTTTTCAAAAGGTAAATACCAAGAAATAAATCAATGTTGTTAGCTGTGGTGGTGGACGCCTGTAATCCCAGCAGTCTGGGAGGCTGAAGCAGGAAGAGAGTAGGTAGGAGCCCAGCAAGTAAAATTTAATAACTTAGTGAGACTTTGTCTCAAAGCAAACAAACAAATATCAATAAATAGAAGTTTAAAAAAGGACTGAGGATGTAGTTCAATGAGAAGATGCTGGGTTCAATACACACACACACACACACACACACATAAATGCAATGTTAAAAAAACCAAGCACTGCGCATGACACATGCCTATAATCACAGCACTTGGCTGATGTAAGAGGATCACAAGTTTGAGACTGCCTCAGAATAAAAAATAAAAAAGGGCTCAGGTGGCAGCTCTAGGCTAAACTCCTGAGTTGAATCCCTAAAACCATAAAAGACTTTTAAATAGATGAGTTTTATTACACTGGTCTTTTTCCAGATTTAAAAAAAAATCCTGATGGGATGGAGACCTCAAAGCTAACTGATGATCAGTTTTGATTAACAAATACCTCTTTCTTGTGTGATGAAAAAAACCAGCAAAATTTGATCAAAATGACCATTGAGTGTGATTTCTCCATTCAAGGTAGCCAGGAAGGTGCTAGACAAATAATTCTCCTGGGATTAGGATGCAGATCTGAGAACATTTCATGATTCACTTGACTTCTCTGCACGACATAGAGAAGATGACTGGTTCATTCTGCAAACTTCTACAGAGTAGTGTCCAAGGCCTCCAAATCCACATTTCTTCTTGGCTGCCCGGTGTCTAATCCTCTAGTATGAAAAGTTACATAAATACTTGAGGTGCTCAACTAATCTGAGTTCACCAGAAGCAAACGCAAATGTCCAAATCTCCTACTGTAAGGTGTTAATCAGGAATATCATTCCACTACCAATAACTTTCTTTGCCCACACCTACAAAGTCAGTTCACATTTCTTCATTTGCACCTCTTTTTAACTATGATGGCCAACGCTCCTGCAGTTCGCATGTTAATTAAGAAATGGTCCATCTGCTTTGCATTAGGGTCATGGGCTCCCTTGATTGGGAGTAACTCCAGCCCGCTGCGGTAATTGTGTGCAGATGGGACTCGGGCCCCCAAGACCTCCAGCCCCAGGTCCTCGAGACCAGACCAGCCTCCCGATTGCAGAACCAGATGTGTAAACGGGGTCTCTTCTCAATGCGGTGTCTGTTATGTAAATGATCAGACTATGTCTTCTAAAAATGATTTTTGAACAAATTAGTCATCTGGAATCTAAACTATTCTGTTGCGGAATTTTACAATGCTGGCATCTGTCACTCCGTAAGATGAGACAAAGGGGGCACTTTATTTTTACCTTAAAATGCAAAATGTGTTTTGGTGGAATAAAAAAATACAAGTAAATAATTAAAAGATATTGAAAATAGACTGGGAGAAAAACGAATGATGATAAAGAATCAGCTACATATCCATAGCCAGATTTTAAGTGTAAAAAATGTTTTTGCTGTGATTCTGAATGAAATGAAAATGTTCTAACAATTTAATAATCAACCACTAAGTACCCTCTCATGAAGATAGTCAGCACTGCAGGAGTTTGTACGTATGCCATGTGAAGGCATTGGACCACTGGATTCAGACCGTTAAAAATACATTTGCGAGAAACTGCATGAATCCATTTCCAAAGGCTTGAAATTTGAATTTCAGACATTGAGATATTGGTGGAAAATATTAAATCAATTCGATGACAAAGCTTTTTGGGAAAAAAATTGACTTGATTAATCCTTGATTTGCTCGTGGTGAAGGGAAAACATACACAACAGAAAGATACAAATCAGTTTGACTCTTTGTCCAAATCTTGCACTTTTCTCCTTCTCTACCCAACCATTTGCTATGACAGGAAGCCTGAAGAGCCAGTGGGATCAGCCAGTAAAATAATTATACATTTCTCCTTCTGGAGGGAAAAACTAACTGCCAAAAACCCAATTTCATACATGAAGGAAGAAGAAATGAACCCCAAAGCAACCATTTATGTTCTAATCTATAGAGGACGAGCTTTTTAAACTTTCCACATCTATATTAAGGTTTCCATTTCATAACCTTAGTTCTGACATGCTAGCTTTTCAAGTCTTTTATTGTGCTGCCCATCATTTTAATTGAAAATAAAGGAATAGATCCTGGTTGGTTGTTTCAAGCTATACTACGAGTTTAGGAAAGGTAACTTACTTCGAGGCATCAATTAAGGATAGTTCTTCCACAATAACCCAAACTCAATGCTCAGAGATAACAGAAAATTAATCACATCTTCAAAACACCCATTGTTCACAATTTTCAGTATACAAATGTTTGGACTGTAAAATCTGTACGCCTCATCTTCCTTTCTACAAACTCAGTAAGGCAAGCAGAAAGTTTACGTGACTCTATGATTTTGTAAAAAATCAAACCCATAAGTGGCTGCATGGAAAAGAGTATGGATATTGGTATATCTCAATTTTTCCAGAAATTAATAAAATAATCTGCATATTTAAATAAGTGCAATGCACATAGTTAGCTCAGTAATGAACAGCGGACAGGGTGAGAGTGCTTTTATATCTGTCGTTGCTCTCCAAGGCCCTTTATGGGACACTGCCAACCAGACGCAATCAATAAATGTATTAGAACTGGTAGATGCAAGTGGCACCAGCACCTTTGAAACTAGGAGAAAATGAAGCAACTGTTCTTCAGGATTTCCAAATAGCCGTCATCTATATGATGACATTGTAATAAGTTAAATGAGCAATGAACGAGAAGCTCATGAGAAATTTACAACTTTCTCATTATTTGAGCAATAAAATGTGGTCCTCCATCATGTTTACTCCCTGGCTAACTTAAAATGCTTCCAGGCTACAAAGTGATGGACAACTAATTCCAATGAGGGGAAAATACCATGTGATTCACTGACTGCCAGTGCTGATGAACTAGTGATTTTACTAATTTTAAAATACAGTGATAACTCAGTTCATGGGCACTTTTGTTTGCCAACAATTTGGTACACAGAAGCATTTGGCAAAATTTTGTTTTTGTAAAAAGAAAACTTTTTTGTTTTTGTTGGTGAACTCTGCATCAGGTGACCGACCAACATGACCTTGGCCATCTTTCACAGACCAATATGAATCTGGCCATCTTTTCCAGAATTCAACTTGTGGAATGAATTAAGTTCGAGAGCCGAGGTACCACTGCAGTCGAGGGGCTGGGGATGTAGCTCCGTGAGGCCTGGGTTCAATCCCCAGGACTGGTAATAATGAGGTAATGGCCTAGCTTCTGGTTGGCCTCTTACACAGCGATGCCCAGTGACAGCTTTGGTCCCCGGTCCTCTTCCGGTGATTGGATCCATCTGAACGACACCGACAGGAGAGCTAGCCCATGGGAACCTTTCTCCTACCAGCAATCGAATCACTTAGGGACAGCCTGCGACCTCGGCCTCCACACTCACAAACTGACAGCAGGGCGAGCTCATCCCATCCAACCACGGATCCCACTCGTGTAGGAAAAGGATGGTCCAGACCAAGAGGAGGCAGAGAGCGGCAGGGAAGAGCACTTCACACCCATTGGTTCGAAGAAAACGAGAAGGCTGCTTTGAAGAAAGGAACAGTGACACCTGGCACCCGAGGTGGCCAAGGCGGGTCTCTGTGTTCACCGGCTGGGCGGCTGTTTTTCACCTGGAGGAGCCCAGGGCAGGGCCGGACTGGAGCTTTCCCTGGGCCCCGGCTCCCTTTCGGAGAGTGAGCAAGCAGCTGGCCCTGTGGCTGACAATGTCAACAGCACTCAAGTGGCTGCTTGGCTAAGAGGTCCTGGAAGGTGGCAGTGGGTTCTGTCTGACTCCGTCTGTCGCACACCCTCACTTATTTACTGGACATGGAAACAGACCTGCCTCTCCTGAGGGGCCGTTTGAGCAACAAACTTCTACATGTGTGTGCGCACGTGTGTGTGTGTGTGTGTGTGTGTGTGTGTGTGTGTTTAAATGCCAACAGATTAGCCTCACCATGCCATTAGGACAACAGCAGGTCTATTTGTTGTTAGTGCTCCGTGAATTCCTGCTTCCCACAAAAATCAAACTTAAGAGGTACTTTGTTAGGTCTTTTTAGAAAAGTGACTTTAGCTGTTTTTTTACAAGTCTATCTTATGTAGGTAAGCAGAGGTGTGAGTTGCAAGTGTCTTTGTATAATTAATCATTTGTTTGAGCCCTTCCTAGTGTATTCTCCTTATTATTGGTGAAATAGGCATATTTGTAATTCATACAAATTCCCAACATTTCCTATAAAAACTGCATATTTTAATTTATATTCCTTTTTCAAAATGCCCTACATTTAAAACATTATGCGATTTACAAATGGGCTTAAAATGATCATTCCAAAGACATCCTATTTTAATGGTAAAATCTAATAATAAATAGAGTGTGATCAAACATAATAGGAAATTTTTCATAATATCTGACATTTTAGAAAATAAGTGGTTTAGATTTTGCAGAAGTCATTTGATAGAATTTACAAGGAATGAAAACAGCAACATGTTAAATCCATTAAAGAAATACCACTTAGGGGAAAACAGTAACTAGCTTGAATTTGGGAAGTGATACTTACTTTAGGTTTCCATGAATCTTAGGCAAGAGTTTAAAAAAAATGAAAACTGCATGGATTTTGTCAATTTCAAAGGAGGGTAGTTCAGAGGCAGAGTTAGGGGAAGGTAGGGCAGGTATATTATTTCTGGGAAGGTGCATTATTATGAGGGTAAAAGACTTCTAAAAACAGCCAGACACATAACTCACAAGTAGCATTGTTAGTGAATGCTCTTTTACACATATTTTCTTTAAAAAAAAAAAAACCACCAGCAGTTATAAAGAATATAATTTGGCATATGTACATTTCAAAAGTGAGTAAAAAGTCATATCTATTTCTCTTTTTCTACTGGCTTACTGATTAACTGTACTTTGCTCTTCAAATTAGGCCAAAAAGTTAATAAAATATTATAGTCAGAATGCATGTGGTTAGAAGCCAAAACTATACATAGTACAACAGAATCAGTTGGGCAGAACAGAACATAGTCACATTTAAAGAAAAAGGCAAATAGCACTTTGGCCTTAAGAAGTTAAGTATTCTAGAATTCGCTTTTGAATGTAAACTATTATATTTGCAGAAATGTGTGATGAATTGAGTCCTCCTCTTCTGGAAGAGGGAAAGAAATTCCTCTGCTTAGAGTCTCAACATATTAATCAAAATATTTAACATCTTCAACCCTCAGATTCCGCCAACAGAAAAGCTGCACAAGGAGTACACCTACTGTGCATTTTTAAAGAGTGCTTCAACTGCAGCCTATTTCCAGGGATTAAATCTTTTTATTCTATTGTACCCAGCAGAGCACTTAATTGATTTAGTCTTCTAGGCAAAAAAAAAAGAAAAAAAAATATATATGTATATGTATATATACACACACACAAATATATGTATATATATTTTAATGTATATAAAATATAGTTCCTAGATTATTATTGTACATATATGGTAAAACATTTATGTCTGATTTACTCTACCTCGGGATGAAGTGGCTAATCTCTGAGTACCGTGAATATTTTAGCATATTTGTACGTGGCGCAAAATAAATTTCCTTCAAGTTTGGTATTTTCTTGGCACTTTTCCGTGTGTGAAGAACACCCTTTGCCCAAGCACACATCAGCTCCTGTGGAGGTAAAGGTCTTCTGGAACCTCAGTCCCGCTCTCACCTTTGTACAGACTCTTGGGCACCTGGCAGGTATGTCCACACCCATTAGAGCAACACTTCTTCACCCCGGAACACTCGTGGTCCACTTCACAGCTCTCCACACAGGCAGCAGCAAAGCCGCTAGCTTTCTCAGGGGCTGGGCAATCCCCCTGCTTCACCAGGAGGATGTACTTGAGGAACTCACAGCTGGTCAAGCACTCATAGTTCTTCTTGGGGAACAGAGGCTGTCAGAAAAGATAAAAATGTTTTTTTACATTTCGCTGAAGACACATGAAGGGCTGGGATGTAGGCCAGTGGTAGAACACCTGCCTGGCCAGCACGTGTAATGCTCTGGGTTTGAACTCCAGTAATTGCACGCAAAAGAAAGATGCATGAAGACTGCTTCAGGGACATCTGAGATAAAGTCTCACATTTTTATGCTGTCAGAAATTCCCTTGGATCTTTTACAAAACTGATGAATTTGTTTTCTTTGCCCCCAACAAAATGACATTGCATGGTAATTTCCCAAAAGAATAAGACCCATTCCTTATGGTTGTAGATTGCTTGCAATAGCTTCACCATGCACATAGACACACAATCACAGACCTTTACATTCTATCTCAGCTCAAAGATAGCCCTGAAGAAATTATCACAGGGCTGGGGTGTGGCTCTGTGGTAGAGCAAGTGTTCAGCCTACATCAGGCTGGGTTCCGTTCTCAGCATCAGAATAGGAAAACCCATGTTTATAAATATTTACTAAACACATACTAAACATACAATTTGACAGGCCCTTTTGCAATAGATGCATTATTTTCTAGCAAGTCACTTTAATTTTTTTCATCTACCATCAGCACTAAGTAAACACGGTACCAGTGGCCCATTCTTTCAATGGCAATGCACTCGGTCATGAGTCACAGAGTTGCCTAAACCTTTTGCTTTGCTTCAGTTTCTTCTTTTAGTATATGTTTTTGATACACAACACATTCATCTAGAGGAACTGATATACAGACACATCTCATCTTAATCATTGTTACTTTCCCTTCCTCTCTCCTCCGTCCCGTCTACTCCCATTTCCCACCCCCTTCCATCCCCATAAAGTCTGAACCTAAATTGAATATGTTTGATGGCATCAGCTCTTAGAGTCAATGTGCACACAGTCTTTGATCAGCACTGATTTGCCAATGAGTGACATGGTGAACAAACGCGGATCTTACACATCAGCGTGCACCTGTGCCAACTACGAACTAGTACGTTTTGTTTGATAATATTCTAAACGGCCCCGGAATCTATCACCCATTAGCGAATATGGGAACCCCTTAATATATTAGAAAGATGTGTTACCGGAAAAGCAAGAGCAAGACGAAGGACTATTTATCAAATGCATCTTTTGCCTTGGGAAAAGGAGGCTAGGATAGCATTTCAATCTTGCCTAAGACATGAGCTGCAGTCAGAAGATGATGGCTTTTTCTTGCTGTTGAACTGAGGTTCCTAAAGTTTGCTGCTCAGAGAGAGAAAGCAGTGCTGTGCTTTCACTCTCCTTTGCCTCTCTGAAGGATGGCCAAGACAGTCCCGGCAGCCCCAGCCCCCACCCTAGCTTTAACTCTTCTTTTGTCTTATAGAAAATACCTGACAAGATCTCCATCACAGGGACTAGGGGAGTACTCAGTGACAAAGTACTTGCCTAACATGCACAAAGCCCTGGGTTCTGTCCCCAGCATAGTAACAAGAACAATAAAAATCTTCCCTAATCCTAAATTCTACTTTAAGCGTCCTCTTACCATAACTGCCTGACCCTGACCATGTCCTTCTAAATCCCTTTTCACCTTGGGATACACATGCTAGACGAGGTTAAATACTCAATCATCCCTGTAATGATTGAAAATTATCCAGACACCCTTTATACCATTTGTGGTCTTGGCTTTTCAGTAGTAGGGGTGGGACACCCACATTCTCCCTAGACGTGGGTGATGCCAGGAACCTAGAGGGTAAACACTTGCTTTCAACTGCTCTGTGCACAGAAATCAGTGCTGGGTGTGTCTGAGCTCTCAAGCATGTCAGCCTCGATTCCCTGTCGTAGCTCATTGCACCCAAAGCAATGCAAAGAATGAAGTCTAAGTAGCCCGCCATTGGACCACCACCCACAGAAGAACTCTCACGGTTTCTCCAAGTTGAAAGTACAAGATCCCCAAAGAGGGGCTTTCTGTTTGTTATCTGATGCCACATCAGGGTCAGTGGCCAAAGTGACACTGGCGGATAGAGAGCAGCACGGAAGGTGAATGTCATGTGGTTCACGCTCGTAAGCAGGGCTCCTCCTGGGTGATGCCTAGTAGCACCTGGGCGCAATTGCCAGCGTGTTGCCCATGGCCTCTCACTGAGGACTAAACAGGGCTCTCTGCCAGCTGGTAACACCCGGTAGCACCTGCCCTAGTTCTGTGCCCTCCTCCTCCCAGAAGAAGAGGTGAGGTCACCTCCTCTTTCTTCAGGTAGATGCCTCGTGGCACGTAGGAAACCTGGCAAGCAGACTGTGCGAGCGGGTGACCAGACCTGTGACACAGAGTGTTTTGCACAATGAGAGAGGTACGTCCGTTGAAAAAGTCTTCACCGTTAGCAAAATCTTTCGGTCGGGCCAGAGAAAGGAGGGATAGCTCTACTGCTTTTCCAAAAAGACAGTCATTTCGTTAATTTTCAGTTCTTATTTGTCACGTCGACGAGAATGGAGATGCCTTGGAAGCAGGACAACAGCCACAGAAAAAACCCGGGAATCCAAAGGTCGCTGCAACAGCAGCGTGCACTGACACCCGGGTCTCACCTGGTTCTTTTCCCCAAACAGCATCGCGCTATGAGGTAGGGTGAGTAAGAGTGGGAACTCCCAGGTATATTTTACCACATTTTAAAATAAATCTTGGAAAGACCTACAAATTTTTATGTGTCATTCAATGAGGAAGTGCGTACCTCAAATAGAAAATTGTTTTTTGTCTTTCAGCCACAGTATCTTTCTAACACACTAAATTTAATATTTACCAGAGTTGTAATATTTGTTACAATTAAATATAAGGAAATACTCTCTTCTTCACAGGAATAAAAGGAAGAGAACTAGAAACATGAGCTTAAAATGAATAATTCCAAGGTTTGAATTAGACTTTTAGGTGCTATGTAAAGTTGGTCGTTAATAACTCTCTCTCTCTCCTCTCTCTCTCTCTTTATATATATATATATATATCATGTATGTATGTATATATATATATATATATATATATATACACACACACTATCTATAAGCCAAGTGTGGTTGTGCACACCCTTAGTCTATTGCTCTAGGATGCTGAGGCAGGAGAATCTCAAGTTTGAGCCTAGACTTGACAACCTGATGGCTATCTCAAGACCCTGTCTCAAAAAAAATTTGAAGAGTTGGGTATGTAGCTCAGTGAAAAGGCCTTGGGTTTACTCCTCAATCCAGTGGATGGATGGTAGATAGATTGACAGAAAGAGAGAGAGAGAGAGAGAGAGAGAGAGAGAGAGAGAGAAAGAGAAAGGAGGGAGGGGGGGAGGGAAGAAAAGAAGAAAATAATATGGATTGACTAACTCAAATTGTATCTCAATTGAAGAGCTTTACAGGTAAAACTTGGAAGAAAAGCGATAGTTACATTATCTAATTACCACAAATTTGCAACTAGTTAATTTAGAAAAAAAAAACACTTTATACACATTTAAAGCATCACCAACTCTCAAGGCTTTTTGTTCTGGCGCTAAGTCACAGTTCATCTTTCTGTTAGTGGCTAGCTGTGTTTTACTTCGTTGGCTTTCTAAATTTAAATCCAAACCTAAATTAGTAATCCAGGAAGTCTGCCAACAGATCTGTAACAATTATGTGGCACTGGCCAAGTTTCCTCTTCCAACAGAATGTACATATTTCATGCAAAGAAAGAAAATACTTAGTTACCCCAATCATTGGACCCTACGCAGGCTGAGATTTCCAAGCAGAAATTCTGCTATTAGAGCTCACAAGTGTTTACTGCTTGCTAACTTGGAAATCACAGTAACTTGGTTTGTACCGTGGGGTCATTCAAATCAATGCAATTCAAACTTGTTCCCGTATTAAAACAGAGTAGGAGTCAAAAGTCAGGTAACAAAGATTCAGTTCACAGTTCCTAAAGATTTCATGTCTGTTATCCAGACTCCTATGACCATGCCTTGAACTACGAGGGACCAGAAAACAGAAGGGTCTCCTCACCCTCATAACTCCCCGAGCTGACGGGGCTTCGATCCCCAGGACTGCAAAAACTAAAAATAAAAATAAACCGATTCTCTCACAAAAAAACTCAACAAATACAGAAACAGTGGCCTAAAACAGATATGAAATAGTCATGCCAATGAGCATAAGAAGAAAGTGATCATAATTAGCCCAGTAATTTAGACATTCCAGTGGGAAGAAAGGAGGTGTTTAACAGTGCTTCTCTTTGGACATGGATTCATGCATGATTTCCGGGATGACACAGAGGACCACAGAAATAATGATATCAACCTGTGTGTGTAAGGTTTCTCGACTGACACGGGATCTTGAAATAATACAGCCTATACTGTGAATATTATACAAATAGTGCACACAAAGAACTAAGCTAAACCACCATCCTGCACAGTGGATCCCCGCAATACTCAGTGAGAGCTCAGTAACTGTGTCCTTTCTGTTCTCACTGCTACATGTTGGAAACCTCTAACATTTCGCAGTACTCTTCTTCTTGCAAAAATTGTACAAGCTCCAAAGGCAGAAGGTGGTCTCTGCTTCCGCTGCAGGATATCCACAGCAGACTTCAACTTGCTACTTTCAACTTGGGCCCCGAAGTCAGCATATGGGGAACTGAACCCTGTAAACACATGTAAGAAAACAGTCCCAGGATTTTGGTGATTTATCTATTTTAAATTTTATTTATTTATTTATTTATTATTTCTTTATTTATTGGTTTTTTGAGACAGGGTCTCACTATGTAGTTGAGACTGACCTGGAACTCACTACGTAGCCCAGGCTGGTCTCGAACTCACAGCGATCCTCCTGCCTCAGCCTCCTGGGATACAGGCATGTGCTACCATGCCCAGCTTCCAGGATTTTATTTAAATGAACCTCATTTTACAATGATGTGAATTTGGCGTGACAATCATACAAAGGACCTCTATTTTACGGTTTTATTGATTATATTTATCAATAGTAAATTTTTATGTTCTCTCTCATTTTTCTTGGGTAATTCACTTG